TGATTTGCATTGTCATACCTTTTTGGTAAAGGTCCTAGTGATTGAGTCAATACGGCATTGATTTTTTTGTGACAATAACCAATCATTTCCAATCATTTCAACAATTAAAAAAGCTCAGGAAAATGTAAACTTTCAGCATTTAATCTAGAGAACTACAGGCTTTATAAATGGTGCACCTTCTCATTTTACTTGGGTATGCATGACATGTAGTGTGCATATCTATGATTATAATATGTACATGTGCATACATATATACTTATACATAAATATAATGTTAAAGTGTATATTTGACTTCCCTGATGTCTTTAACTTCAATGACATATTTATATTAGGTGATCATCCTCTCCTATTTGTTGAAATACTCAAAATTATTTAATATGGACCATTAATACAAAAAAAACAAGTAAATCATATTAGATTCCAAATGTATGTTTACCAAAAGGTGAAAAGATTCACACATCCTGGTTTCTTTTTCTCTTTTCTGTCCTTCATGTTCCTTTCCACTCACACCCTGCAGAGGGCTTCAAAAGATTAAAAAGGTGTACCTGAAGCAGTCTTTTCCATTCCCTCTGCCATCCTAATTATTTTGGCATAAGTAGGTAAAATCCGTAAGACATGGGGGGTATTTAATTGGCTGAATTTTACAGGATTTTCCAGCATCTTTATATAAATATAATGGAGGTTTGATGCCAAATTTTTTGAATCACTTAGTTCAATCCATGTAATAAGGTATTCGAAAGTTGATACTGCAGCCCTTTAACTTGCGATCATGTTGGTAGATTTATAAACTGCTAGCATTTTAATGACAGTGAGGCTTCCCTTAGAAGGACGGTGTGTAGCTCACCTTTTCTGAAAAGGTAAATCTTTCCTGGTTGCCAGTTCATTGATCTGTGATAGAGATAAGCATATCCCAGAGAGAAAGGCTGCTTCAGTCGCCAGTGTCCATTTTAGCCATTCTGTTTGGATGATGATTTCATGAATGGTGTTTTGACTTTTCTTTCTCTGTGGCCCGCAGCTCACTGTGGTGGGTTTGTTGGATTTACTATAAAGGTTCTATTTGCACCCTGTGGGCTGGGTTAAGAATCAGGGTTTATGCATTTACTTGTACTGTTGCATTGTTTAGACAGCTTTGGTTTAGTTTTGATCTTTTTTTTTTTTTTCTTTTTGCCTTTGAGGCTCTTCCACAGTGTCAGCTGCTGACTGATAGTAGGAAAACGGCCTCATGGTGTGAATGAAAGGGACCTAGCGGTTGGTAAACAGAGATAAGGAATAAATAGAGCACAGGCAAAAGGAGATAGTTCTGTGGGGGCCCAGATTGCTGCCGGTCTGTTCAAGGGAGATGCAGAGCCTGTCCTTCTCCCACATTAAATTAGTGTGCGAAATCTCCAGTGACCTCCTCCCCTTCTCCCCGCACTCTTTAGCCAAGCTGAACAGCCTCTGCTGTAAAGTATTCATTTTACCCAGGGACAAGCTGGACAATAGAACTCTCCCTGATACTTACGGACAGCTGTCTTCACTCACAGTGCTCTCAGCATTTCATTTTTCATAGGAGTTAAAAGGGTTTTTACCTTGGAACTCAAAGGGGGCTCAAATGCAACTTTGCCAGTTCGGAAACTGCTTGGCCAGGGGCAGGACCGGGGGTGGGGGGCAGCTAGCAGCCAGGAGAAATTGCTCAGGAAAGCAATTATTTTGTTGTTGCTGTTGTTGTGCTTAGAAAATTAAACAAAGAAATTTGATTTAAAAATGGGGTTGCTTGTTGAGAGAAAATAGCTTTGATCCTGAAAGTTTCCTAAAATTAAGCTCATCCATGCAAAGTAGACAGTTCATCTTTACCTACTCTGCCCTCCTTCTGGCTAAATATACATGCATTTTATTACCTGTGAATAAGCACAAGTAAACATTAAGCCTGTAAGATACTTCGGTAGTCCAATTTTTTTTTAATTTTTTTTTTTTTTTTTTTTTTTTTTTTTTT